AGCCACAGCCATGGAAGAAGGAAGAAACCTGGAAAACTACACTGTCCAGGGTCTTCTTGATGAGCTCAGAACCTATGAGCACGAGCTGAAGAAGAAGAAGGAAGAACAAGTCACTCCCTTCCCCACGGCACTAATGACAACTCCCAGAGTCCCAACAAGTGAAGGGACATGCCCAAGAAGCTGTGACACACCCTCCTCCTGCCAGCCGTCAAGCTCAAAAATGGAGAACTACGATGAGGAATTTGCCATGATGGTCAAGCAATTCCGAAAGTTCAAGAAGTTCTTCAAGAAAGCTGACTCAGTCAGAAGGCCATCCAAGGGAAAGCCACAGGTAAGTGACTCTCCTCCTGAATCTTATTTGTGTTATAACTGCAGGAAGCCTGGCCACTGGAAGTCAGCATGCCCGTACCCAAAGGTGGAGAAGCACGGAGAGAGAGAAAGGAACGAGAAGAAAAAGAAGGCAATGGTTGCTGCTGAGAGTGACGAGTCATCCAGCTCAAGCTCGGATGAAGAAGCCCTCGTCTGCATGGAGCGCAGAGTTGAAAAGTCCAACCAAGAGGATAGGTGGACTATGTCAGAAGATGACACTTTCTGCCTAATGACCAAAGATGATGCTGATCAAGAGGTAACTTCACAAACCTCCTTCTCATCTTCTTATGAAAGCATACCAACTTCTGAAAATCTTTTTGACCAGTTCAAAAAGATGATGGTAGATTTTGAGGAAATAAATCTCAAACATTCTTCCTTAACAGAGGAGAACAAACTATTGAGTGAAGAGAATCTCAATTTGACTGAAGGTCGGAAAAGTCAACTTTATGAAATCACTCAACTCAAGACTGCAAATGAATCTCTCTCTGAAAAGGTGAAATCCCTTAACAAAGAACTAGGGATACTTAAGTCTAAGGAAGCAGTGGATAAGCTTCTTGAAACGACCAACAATAAGGGTTGTAAAGGACTTGGGTTTGACCCCTCTAGATCTAAAAGGAAAGGGAAAACAACTTTCATCCCTCCTAAACCTACTGCTAAACCAAATAAGCAGAAAGGAAAGGAAAAGGAGAAACCAACAGAAGTTCCCAAAAAGGTAGTCCCTCCTAAGAACTATAGGAAGCTGGACAGACCTCAAAGAGGAAATAATTTCAGACGAAAACCTTCTAACCCCCATTATACACGAGGCTATACTCATTATGGGGTAGATAGAAGTTTTCCAAGAAATTCTGAGTGGAGAACTATACCAAGATATAGTCATCCTCCACCCCAGAAACTATTTGTGCCACCTAAGTATGCTTATAACCGACACAGGCCACACTATGCACAACTTAGACAAAACTATAGGTCTTACCAACCTAGGTTTGCTAGGAGGAAACAGGAAATTGCACCTCCTGCACGTAGGAAGTTTTATGCCTACAACTATGATTACAATCCCAACAAGTTTAGAGCTGCAAGGAAAATTCCCTGCAACTTCAAACTTGATGTAGGGACACACACCATTAACTACTCCGAACCCAAACTTAATTGGGTACCAAAATCTTCCTCCTCCTAATGCAGGAAGCCACTAAGTACCCAGGTGTCTGGTACTTAGACAGTGGCTGTTCAAGACACATGACGGGTGATGCGAGCCTTTTGAGCAATCTAATTCCCTATGATGGTCCAAGAGTTACTTTTGGAGGAAGCAATGATTTTGGCCTTACCAAAGGGCTAG